GATTAACAATTTCTTACAATCTACTTAATACTTAAATGGTACAAGTTAAGGATGATAACAAGATGATAAACAAACTCCTGTATATTAAATGCTAACTTATAATCTAAATTGTTTGTGTCCCTGAATCTACACTGGGAAATATAAATTTAACGTTTCGCAAAGAAACGGATTTTGTGTTGTCCTTAATGTCTCTACACTGCACTGCACTATCACCTAAGCACTGATCACTACGCGCACTAATGTCCTTCCACTGCACTTCACTAACACCTAAACACTGATCACTTAACACACTTTCGCGGGACTCGCCTAACCTTGTAGGCGGGTGCTCCCGCGCCTGTAGAGGTGGTTCAACCTGCTCCTTCCGATGTCTCTGTTTAATTTTATTGACTACACAGATTCTTCCCACGACACATAGCACGAATATAATTATGTACAATAATGTGTAATGATGGATGTCGTGATGTGATAAGCTGCTCAAGTTCGCCTGCTCCTTGATATTAGCTAATTGGGAACCCAATTGATCCCATTGGGTTTGATGACTTTCGATGGTAAGATTTAGTGGCAGTGTGGTATTAATTATTGAATTTAGGATAGACCTATGTGGGGCTTCAATTTCGGGATTTATATTAATTTCATTAATAAAATTATTGTGTGCGTAGATGGTAAATAAATTTCCCTTTATGATGCAACCTTCATGTATACTGATAATTCCACTTCCGTGCAGAGTGTTAGTGACAATATCAGATATACATAACAAACGTATCTGACACTGCCCACAACAATGAAATAGCCAGACATTCCGTCGTCGTAATTTGAGCCATGAATCTTCACACGGCGCTTGCTTTGTTTTGCAGACTGATGAGTTGGCACTGTCTGTGAACCTGATATCGCATAGGGAATGTTTTATTTTTCAATCATATACGGGCTTATTTAATGTGCATAGTTTTTTGTCGGATGATATGTGGATGCATGATTGTAGATCAATATCTGTGAAGAAGATTGCCATGTCCTTTCTCAGATTAAATGCTATGTAAGTGGTAGGTGGAATAATAATGTAAGTTTTATTCGACCTTCTTTGTGGTATACTTAAAATTTGATCCAGTTCATATATTTCGTTACTCAATAATGGAATTTTTACTTGAACGATCAATAATTTATTAATTATTCTAGCTGATATTTTTAGCAATTTATATATGTAGTTCTTTTATTTCAGTCTTTCCCACCGGTAATGTGAGATCACCACGCAATTGACTGAGGATAATGCTAATTTGATTTGCTAATTGTTCAGGAGATAATAAATGAGGGTCAATGTGACCTTGAGATATAATGATCACTGTATCAAGGAGTGTAGTTTGTATACGTCTCAGGTGTGATAAAAGTATGCTTGCTGATAGGCCAGATGATATGATATGTGCATCCTCTTGTTGCCTAGATCGATCCAATTGTACTTGTGATGTCATATTATTTAAATACTCTCTAATGAATGAAAATTGTTGATTCATATATTGTTCGTTACGACGTAATATATTGTATTCAGCCTCCAAGATTGAAGTTTGATTTTTATATAATTTTAACAGATGCTCTTCATTTTGTGATATTTTTTCGATATCTTGGTGGTATTGCTCAGCGAATCGCTCGTCCAGTACTCCAAATAAGCTGTTAGCAACATATCCAACTCCATTTATTAGCCCTCTCTTGACTCTATTTGGAGAGTTTTGAAGCAATGTATTGTAATGGCGAATTTCATTTAGTTCGTGATCTAATTGAGGGGCAATATTACGTATATACGATTGTATATTTGATGCGTTGTTTAGGTTTCTAATATATTTCAGGTAATGTTCTATTTCAGACACGCCTTGCCAATATGGTATCATATTATAATATACGACGAGATTCCATTCATCTCTGATTATTTGGAGATCTGATATTTTATCAAAATATAGTCCTTGATCATTGTTTAGTTGAGTGATATTGTACGGTTGGACCTCAAGTTGCATTGTTGGGGTAAACAACATGAACATCATGAGGAGCGCTGTATAGACATAAGTTAAAAATGATTTAGGCTTGCGTGTACATTTTGATTTCGTGATATTCTCCCTTTGTGCTTGATTTTTGCTCAATGAAGAAGGTTCATCGGTTACAGGTAAAAGTACTAATTTTGTAATTGGTCGTTTCACCATATTGCTATGTGTTTTTAAAGTTACAACCCTTACATGACCGTCTTTTCCAGGGTGCAACTCTTGTATGCGACCTAATGCCCACCTTCCAGGAGGTAAACTTTCCTCTTTTATTAGGACAACGTCATTGATAGCAAGGTTTCTGCTGACTGCTCTCCATTTAGATCTTGTTTGTAATTGCTGTAGATATTCATCGGACCATCTTTTCCAGAAATGTTTATTCATTGACTGTACCAACTGCCATCGCGTTGTACTCTGCATAGTATGTGGTTCCGATTGTGGTCGTGATAATAATGCTCCTCCCACCAGGAAGTGAACTGGTGTTAAATATTCATCATCTGCATTTTCTGATAATACGCAAAGTGGCCTCGAGTTCAAACATGCTTCGATCTGACATAGTAAAGTGGTGAACTCTTCATAGGTCAGCTTCTGTTCACCTATAACACGTTTGAGGTGATATTTCAGGCTACCCACTGCTCTTTCCCATAGGCCCCCTGCACTGGGCCATGCTGGAGCATTGAAATGCCACTGAACTTCCATTTCAGTAACTTTATTAATAAATTCGTGATTGATATAAGATAAGATTTCCTTATATTCTCTTTTTAAACAGCGGTCGGCACCTACAAAGTTGGTCCCATTGTCACTATACATATGCTGTGGGGTTCCACGTCTACTGCAAAACCGACGAAAAGCTGCTAGAAATGCTGGTGTACTGAGATCTGATACGAGCTCCAAATGTATAGCTTTTGTTGAAAGGCAGACAAAAACTGATATATAACCTTTACTAGTCCTTATTCCCCTTCCCTTGTTGACCTTCAGTTCTACAAATCCAGTGTAATCTACTCCTGTATGTGTAAAGGGTCTAGAGGGTGTAACTCTAGGCTGAGGTAAGTCTGCCATAATTTGATTCTGTTTATGATGATTATAGCGCCTGCATTTGACACATTTTCTCAGCTGTCGCTTCACTGTTCGTATACCTGATATAATCCAATATTTATTTCTATATATGATAGGGTAAGTTTTGGACCTCCATGCAAAGTTGCTAGGTGTGCTTGGTGAATAATCAACTCTGTAAGACGACTATTACTACCTAAAATAATTGGGTGCTTTGCTGTGTAACTGAGTATTGAATTATTCAGTCTCCCTCCTACTCTCAAAATTCCATCGGTATCCATAAAGGGGTTTAAATTTCCTAAACTACTTTTAGTTGAAACTAATTGCTTTTTATTTAAATTATTAATATCTTCTAAAAATTGATATGCTTGATATGACTTAATTATTAAATTCATTGACCGCTTCATTTCTTCGAAAGACAATGTGTCTACACGTGTCGTATTCTGCTGACACCGCGCGCGCTCAATAAAACGCAATACCCATGCTAATATACGAGTAATTTGTGTTAAAGAGCTATAATCATTTAATAAATTCATTATAAATGATTGCTCATTTTGATATAAGGCTACATTCACACAAGCCTTTTTTATTTCAATATTTGGTGATTGATATTTTTCTTTTACCATACTGTTAGGGTTAAATGTTAATAACCACCTTGGACCTTCCCACCACAGACGATAATTTTACAGATGAGATGATGTCATTCCCCTGGTTGCACAATCCGCAGGATTTTCATCTGTTTTAACGTGATGCCATTGTGATGGAGGTATAATATCAGTAGCTTGCTGAACTCTATTTGCAACAAACTCTTTCCATCTTGATTTGTCACCCTGTAGCCAACCCAAAACAAACATAGAGTCAGTCCAAGCATAAATTTGAACATTTTTATACGTTAATGATTTGACTACTTTATGTATAAGTTGCGATAATAAAACTGTACCACACAATTCTAGTCTCGGTAATGATACTTTTTTGTTCAGTGGTGATAATTTTGTTTTTGCCGCTACTAGCGTTGATGTGAACGTGCCCCTACAGTCTGTGCTGACAATATACACAGCACAAGCGTATGCTTTTTCTGATGCATCGCTAAATCCGTGTAATTGTATATTGTTATTATTTTGACCCAGATACCTTTTAATAGTGAATTTATTTATCGTTTTAAAGTCGTTTTCTAATTGATTACAATCTTGTATGATATCATATTGTAACTGAGTATCCCATGACAACCCAGTGGCCCACACTCTCTGAAAGATTAATTTTGCTCTAATAGATACTGGTGACAGCCAGCCTAGGGGTCAAATAATTTTGCTATTGATGATAATAAATGTCTTTTTGTGTATGATTTGCTATTTGATTCATATGATATGTTTTGATATGAGAATGAGTCACCTGATGGACTCCACTGTAATCCAAGTGTTTTTCTACTCTTTTTACATTTGAATTCGTATGGTGAGTCGAGCATTTCTGGCGACAAGTCTTCTACGAGTCTTGCGTCGTTACTGGACCACTTGCGAATGTTCATGCCTGCGCCCCTCAGTATTGATATGATCTGTCTTTGTAGTTCTTTTGTTTGTTCAAGAGAGTCTGCACCGCCCAATAAATCGTCCATATAAAATTATTGTTCTAATGCTGATGCTGCTAAGGGATATATATCGCCGTCATCTTGTGCTAACTGCCTGAGTGTTCTCATGGCTAAATATGGCGCGGCCTTGGTGCCGTAAGTGACTGTCGTTAAATGATATGTTTGTAGTGGTTCAATCTCTGAACTCCTCCATATAATTGATTGTAGTATCTGATCTGATTTTCGAACCATGATTTGGCGAAACATTTTCTCAATGTCAGCCGTGATAACATATTTATATTGCCTCCATTTTATGATCAGCCCTTGAATGTCATGTTGTAAATTAGAAACACACTCCATTAAGTCATTTAAGCTATAACCAGATGATGTTTTAGAAGAGGCATTAAACACAACTCGAAGTTTGTGGTAGTGGAGTCTAATTTAGTTACACCATGATGCGGCATGTAGAATAAGGGTTGTTCAGTGCTATTGGTTTTACGCATATGGCCTAGATCTTTATACTCCTCCATGAATCCTTTATATCCGACGAAAAATGATGTATTCTTTGTTAATTTATGCTCTAATTGCTTAAACTGTGCTATAGCTCGTTCCTTTGATTTACCATGATCAATATGATATACATGCTCGAATCCTGGTTTCATTGGTAGCGCAACTTCATATTTCCCATCTTCTAAACGTTTTGTTGTGTCCATGTAGATGTTTTCACAACGTTGCTCTCCCTCTGATAGTGGTGATAAACTGCTTGTGATATCTTCTATTTCCCAGTACTGAGATATCTCACTTAGGTCGTTGATCACAACGTGACAATTAAATGTTTTTATTCCCACGCGACCTGAGACTATCCAGCCCAGTTCTGTTCGCTGTGCTATAGGTCCCATCCCTATGTCCTTTTATCAAACCGTCTAAAATTATCTCCGAATATATATTGGTATTTAATAAAATGTCTATATTGCTTTAAGTGTTATAATCAGGGTCTGCTAATGGTAAATTTTTTAAGTGATGAAAATTACTTATATCGAATGATGTAGTAGGCAGATTGCGAACTATTTTTCTCGGCATAATTAGTGCTTCGGCAACAAACTCATAGTCGTTACGTAACGATTTGCAGTCCAGTAGAACTTTTCCCCTGCTTTGATTTGGTGATTCTCCTATACCAGCAACGGAAGCGTTCAGATGTTCACGAGGCAATCCTAACAGTTGTACGGCGCTTTCCGTTATCATAGTAATCTGCGAACCTTGGTCTAATAAGGCCCGTAGAGTTACATACGACCCATCGCTTGATAATACCTGCATTTGTATAGTTGTTAATAACATTTCATCATTATTTGCTACATAATTAGCGCTATATCGTTTGTCAGCTGATTTTGCAAAATTTTTATTATTCATTTGTGGTGACCTCTTTATTGGAAACGCGTCGTGGAGCATCGTATTATGCTCGCTGTTGCATTCCTTACATCGCTTCGTTGAAAAACAATTAGTGTCATGTTTGTATAGACAATTTGGACATATATTAAGTTTAGTCACTGTCGCCAATTTTGATTTTGGTGACAGGTCAATGAACTGATTACATTTAAATAAATCATGGTCTTGATTGCATTGTGGACATTTATATGTCTTCGTAGTTACTGCTTGAAAGAATGGTTTTTGATATGGTTTATCTATTTTATTATGGCCTGTATTATTATGAGAATAAATATTTATGCTAGGTCTCCCAGTGCTCATAAATCTAAATGAATTTGATGATGATGGTTTGCTTATATGATGCTGTGACACCTTTTCAGTTGTCACTACCCTTTCCTTTCTACTTATGGGTTCGAGAGCTGTAAATTTACTCTCTAGGAATCCCATAAATTCGTCTAAAGCTGGCAGACTCCTGGGATCCTTACGAGCTTCCATATAGGCAGCATACGTTAAATGATCTAATTTTTTTGATAATATATGGACTAATAATGGGTCCCAGGTTGTTGTATCAATGCCAAGATTGTGAATGGCATGGATACATTCCATGCTAACGTCGTGCAGCTTTTTAATATCGAATGACGTTTGTTTGCTTATATTGGCTTGATTTAATAATATCTCAATATGCTTTGTGAATAGAATTTGTGGGTTATTATAGCGGTGTGTTAAGATTTCCCACGCGGTGTCATAATTATCTGAGGAGATGGTGAGATGGTGAATGAGACGTTCAGCTTCTCCTTTTATTTTACCCTTGAGGTGCTGCATTTTTTGTGATTTTGACAATGTGTTATTATTATGAATGGCCTCATAAAATAGGTCATGAAAAGTAGGCCAATGGGTGTATTGACCTGTGAAGGTTGGTATCTCCAGCTGTGGTGTTGAATAGTTTAAGTGAGCTGCTGAACTTAGTTTTTTATTTAATCTCCGCTTTATAGTTCTGTATGATGTTTCATTTTCAAGGAAAGAACTACAAATTAGAAAAAACAAAACACGCTCTATGAAAAATGAACTTTCAGCTTTATACAAGCTAGTTAATAGATATATAAGGAGAGATTATGCAAAATATAGGCAAGATACAATAGAGAGGCACCTACAATATAGCGGAAGTTCAAAAAAGGCTTACAAAGAACTTAAAACAAATAAATCATGGATAGAAGGATTAAGAAGCCTAGGAAAAGATTTATGTAAACGGAGTGATATTGTCAACATTGCAACAGAATTCTATACAAATTTATACAGTGACAGCAAGCAAACAACTAAAATATTAAAGAAAAAAATCGAAAGCAACTACTGTAACAATATTAAACTGATAAATGAAAATGAAATTATGGATGCAATAAAGAGTTTAAAACTAGAAAAAAGCTCTGGAGCCGACAACATACCAAATGAAGCACTAAAATTCGCGAACACGATACTAGCAGCACCATTAAGTGAATTGTTTAATTTGATTCTTCAAAAAGCTGAAACGCCATCCCAATGGTCGGAAGCAAACATCATACTAATTTACAAGAAAGGAGATCCAAAGGATATTGGTAATTATAGGCCGATTAGCTTGCTACCCAGTCTTTACAAACTTTTCTCTACTATCTTAAATAAAAGAATAAGCGCTATGATAGAAGCAAAACAACCGGTAGAACAGGCAGGCTTTAGAAAGGGTTTTTCCACAGTTGATCACATTCACACAATCGACTTAATAATGGAAAAATATCAAGAAAAACATGGATGTCTACATATCACTTTTATTGATTACTAAAAAGCATTTGATTCGGTAACACACACAAGTATATGGGAAAGCTTAAACCAACAAGGAGTCGAAGAAGTGTATATAAATGCTATTAAAAGTATATACGACAACAATACAGGAAGAATTAAACTCGAAACCCTAGGCCCAACCTTTCCCATAACAAGAGGAGTAAGGCAGGGAGATCCCCTCTCTCCAAAATTATTCATAGCCATCCTAGAATCCACTATGGGTAAGATAGATTGGAATAAGTCAGGAATATATATTAAAGGAAGATATTTAAGCCACCTTAGGTTTGCAGATGACCAGGTCATCTGCAAACCTAAGGTGGCTTAAATATCTTCTATTACTTTCAGAGTCGGGTTGCCAGATGCAGTTCATGATAGAATCTTTACATAGTGCTAGTATTAAGGTGGGACTGGAAATGAACCTCACTAAAACTAAGGTAATGACAAACAGCTTTAAAGTATCCATTATAATTAATGGAGAGCCACTGGAATATGTAGAAAAATATGTATACCTCGGAAAAAGAATAAGTTTTGACAGAAACAACAACACACTAGAAATAGAAAGAAGAATACAACAAACATGGAACAAATATTGGAGCCTTAAAGAAATTTTTAAAAGTAATATGCCAATAGCTATAAAAACAAAAGTTATGAATTGCAGTCTCTTACCATGCTTGACGTATGGATGTCAAACATGGAAATTCACCGCTAAAGCTACAAATAGAATCAACGTATGTCAAAGAGGACTAGAGAGAAGCATGCTTAATATTAAAAAATCAGACAAAATAAGACACACCAGGATTAGAGGGATAACTAAAGCAATTAATGCTAAGAGTTATGCAAAGAAGCTCAAATGGAAATGGGCAGGACATATCGCGAGAGTAACAGACCAGAGATGGACAACGCAAGTAACTTTGTGGAGCGGACCACCAGGCAAGAGAAGTAAAGGAAGACCTTTGACTCGCTGGGAGGATGATATCAAACGAGTAGCTGGCTCAAACTGGACATTAGTAGCACAAAACAGAGACAAATGGACATCTTTGGAGGAGGCCTTTACCCAAAATGGGGTTCTTGATAACTAAATATATGTAAATATATAAATACATATTAGTAACAAATAGATTAATAATAATAAATACATATAGTAAATAATAATAATAATAAAAATACTTGAATATAAATTAACAAATAGTGATAAATATATATTTCTAAGTTACTAACACCATAAATTTGTAATAAGCAAGAAATAAAAAGGCTTTTTTAATTTAATTTAATTTAATTTAATTTAATGATGTTTCATAGCTCGCGAACTCTGTATCATAGTCTACATCTTCTCCTTGCAAAATGTTGTCTATTTGAAGATGTAAATTTTCGATAGTACTCCATCGTGATTGTATACTACGAAGCTCATCCTCCAACTCCCATTTTTCATCTATGCTATCCACATTTACGCTCAATAAAAGACGATTAAAAGCCCTAAAATTTGTTCTTTGTAAAGTTAGTAATTCGTCTGCCTTTTGGTTACGCTGAGTGCCCTTATCTTCTTTATTAAAAGAAATTAATTTTGATATTATGTCTTGGAAAACATCTTTCGTTTTTTGATAAATGTTATCCCGAAAATACTGCGCAGATTTATCCTCGTATGAAGATAACTCTACGTGATTCTGTTCGAACTCTCCCCACAAGTTATTTAAGGTTTCTATCCTATTTTTTAGATAGTCCGATGATTTTCTAGAGGATGAGTCCTTATTAAAATTTATTCTTATTTTATTTATTGATTCAAATATGTCAGCCTGACGCTTGATTAGCTCCATCTTATATTTTAATAGCTAATAATTAAAGGAACAGTCTTACTTGATCTGCTTCTCACTCTGCTGTTACACTGATGATGTTCTGCTATGCTGCTGATGATGCTCTGCTCTGATGTTGATGATGCTCTGCTCTGATGCTGATGATGCTCTGCTCTGATGCTGATGATGCGATGTCTGTGAACCGTGCTCTCGGCCCACGTGACACCACTTACAGGATTCCGCGATTGTCACTTTTTAAAGTTCTTCAACGCGAGATCCCGCCTTCGACCGAACAGGAGTAAGGTCAAAGACTCGAAGGACCAAAGAATGTGGGGGTTTAAGCCCACAGTTCCGTGATAATGCTATTGATTGATTGATGAGGGGTTTTTGATAAATAAAACCGCCTTGGTTGAATGCTACTCGAACACTGATTTTTATTACTAAAATAAATATAATGAGGTGAAATGTATAGAAGTGAAATTGCATGTGTAGGCAATTGTGTATTGCACAGTAAGCAGGCATGTGCGGTTGCCCGTACAAGGTCTGCATTATCCGTTTGGATCTAGTTTATCGAAAATTGTCAGAATGGAGAGATTTTTAAGGGAGTATATCACATTCAAAGTAGGTCACTTTGGATACCAATATTGCTTTAAGACGTTTAAGTACATGGTGGCCTAACGAATAATTAAACTTACAGAGATTAAAAGATAATTAACTGCTAGTATTAACATCGCATATAGAATGCAAACACTTTTTAATATTAGCATAAATAACATATAGGTACATTTCTGATGATCAGGTAATAATTAAAATTCTTGATTTAATTAAAACGTCACGCATAGATGTTATACAACCAATTATTTGACCACTTCTTTCTAGAAAAATCCTCCATCTGTCCAGCCAAGATTTTAGAATGTTATCTAAATAGAACTTATGATTTAATAAAACTTGACAACCTCTTCATTGGTCTCAGTCGACCCTACATACCATTTGGCAAGCAAACTTTTAGCCGTTGCATAAAACTGACGGTCGACAAATGTGGGCTAGATGTGTTATTGTTTGCACACACATAGTATCAGTATATAAACATAATCCTGCAGGCTGGAGTACCAATTCAAATAAATATATAGAGCTATAAATAATAATAAAATCACAGTTGAACGTATCGTAAACCAATTATATAATAGTTTGGTTTTTATTTTGTTATATACAATAATAATAATTATCATCAGTTATTTTGAAACTTTGTGATCGTTTCTTGTTTTATTTAATCTGTAATTCAATAAATTATGCACACAGAATGTTTTAATAGTTTTCTCATTGAATATTTTTCTGGTCGAACTCTCAAAGTCTACATGTTGTTATATATATTTAGTACTAATCTCGAGGACGAAGCGCAAAGTATAATTAATGATTAAACGAACTTACCTAAGTGAAGTTCTATCATAATTATACGAAGCGCTTCGTCCGAAGAGATTAGTATATATTCCCGCCTACCCAATGTAATTTTTGTGCCCATCATAATAACACCAAAAAATATTTCAATGAGCAAATTAAATCTTCAAAGGATATTTCACTCTAAACTTAATGAACGGAAACTTAAATGAAGTAACCAAGTTAACAATCCACCTACAAAAAACAAAAAAAGAAAATACCCTCTCAACAATAGTGCAAAAGCAGTGTCACTTGTGCGTTACTACATGTTGTTATATATATTTAGTACTAATCTCTTCGGACGAAGCGCTTCGTATAATTATGATAGAACTTCACTTAGGTAAGTTCGTTTAATCATTAATTGTATGCGAAACACAATATTACTTACTTACTAACAGAAATACAATGAAAATTTTATGTGTACCCCAATCTATTTGGTGGTATTACTGTTCTACCAAATCTCGTAACATAATAATTATTATTATTCTGAGTTGAGCAACTCGAATTAGGTATATGTATGTTATCATAATCCAGGTTATAATCAGAGCTCTTTCGTAGTGTGAGCCGCGGCATTCAGTCGACGAGCGCAGAGCGTGCCAGTTGTGTTTTGAATATTAAAGTGAATTGTATTAGCAATGGGTTTATCTCAGTCTTAGTTGGGCCTGGGGGAAGCTGCAAGTAGTGATGGTGAGTGTTAATGCGCTTTGTTTTCTTTCTTTTTTTTTTTTTATTAATTAGTTAGGTTAGTTAGGTTTGTATATATAGTTAGGCTAAGTCAGTTAGGTTAAGATT